AAAGATGTTTTCTGCAGTCTGTGGTGCCCCTAAGTGCTTTGGAAGTGAAATKCTCAAAAGCCTTGATCCCTCATTGTGGTGCACCTAATTTGAAGATCTGATGAGTTTTTGAAACAGACAGAACAAATTTTGATGAKACTGCACTGTGATGGACGCTCATAGTGAGTCCCCACCTCTCACATAGTGCCAGCTGGAGATAGACTCAGACAGGAGAAGCAGGTAAAGACTATGAATAGCAGAGTAAAAACTACAGCTGGCACAAATGGGACCTATAATTACTGGACACAAGTTCTTTTAGAGCTTAAAACTTAAGGTTTTTCTGAAATTGTAGTTTGTAAAGGAAAGGTTGCTCCTCAGTTTGACTGACTTCTCTTTTACTGTTTAATGTCACACAGAAAATCACTTTGGAGGACCTGAGTGGGTCCAGGAGTGCTCTGGAGGAGAAATCTGCGGACCACTCACACTCTGTGAACAGCATGCAGGCTGCTACCTTTGAGAATTCAAACGTTGCTGTGTATGAGGTAGATGACAGAGTCWATTTATCCAGGGCRGAAGTGGGACTCATTTTCGGCCCTGGAGTTTCATGCCTCAGACCGGCCTACTATAGATCAAGACATATTATTAAAGTCATGTAATTAAAACCTCTAAATCATCGATATTAGTGCACTGTTCTGTACAGACTTGTAATTCAGTGTATTTTATAAAAATATTTCCAATTCAGTGCAAGTGGTGTTGCTTCACAATCTAGATTTACTGTATTTCAACTTAAGTGCACATCTCCAGAATTATTATTTACAACACATCCTTTTCAACACCATCAGAATCTAGGCTGTATTTTGTTCAAATAGGTGCAGTGAAATAAAAGAATAAATAAAATATTCAATTAAAAATATGAAAAGTGTTGGACTTTCTAATAACACTATCATTTCTTTTTCTTCTACAAGGAAACAGTTCCATCATAACTTAGAATTTACAAGTATGAGAACAAGTTAAATTTACACTATTC